TGCTCCTCTGATGCTGCTTGGCCTGCTGTGTTCATCCAGCTCTACACCTTGTTATTTCAGATTCTCCAGCATCGGCAGTTCCTACTGTCTCTGAAGCATAGACAGAGAGGTGGTTCTGAGTGGTCTGACAGGCTTAAAGGTAGATAAGTATACTGGGCTGGATCATTTGTACCCCAGGTTGTTGAGTGAGGCAAGGGAGGAAATAACAGGGGAGCTAGCAATAATTTCCAATTCCTGTCTGGCTACAGGAGAGGTGCCAGAGAACTGGAGGACAGCCAAATCTATTAGTCAAGAAGGGAGAAAGGGATAAATCAGGAAACTACTGCTCTAATCTCGGTGTTGGTGAAACTATTGGAAGCAATTCTGAGGGACAGAATTAATTTGCATTTGGAGAGGCAGGATTATTCAAGAACAGTCAGGGTAGTTTTGTTAAGGGGAGGTTATGTCTGACCAATTAGATGACCAGGTGTGTAGATGAGGGCATGTATTCGACTTAGACTTCAGCAAGGCTTTTGATAAGGTCCTACATGGGAGACTGATAGCAAAGGTAAGAGCTAATGGGATCCAAGGAATTTTGGATCTTTTGGACCTACAATTGGCTGATTGGCAGGAAGCAGAGGGTGGTGGTTGAGGGGTGTTTTTCTGACTGGAAATCTGTGTCCAGTGGAGCCCCACGGGGTGTCAGTGTTGGGATCCTTGTGGTTTGTCGTTTATATAAATGATTTAGACTTGAATGTAGGAGTGTTAATCACTAAGATTGTATTTTGATACAAAAATTGGTGGGATGGTAAAAGGTGAGGAGGATAGCCTTAGATTACAAGAGGATAATGACAGGCTGATCAGGTGGGCTGATCAGTGGCAAATGGGATTCAATCCAGATAAATGTGAGGTGATGCACTTGGGCAGGACAAACCAGGTGAGGGAATACATGATGAATGGTAGGATTCTGGGAAGCACCGGGGATCAGAGGGATTTTGGTGCGTATGTACACAGGTCAAGTGGTAGAAATGGCATATGGTATACCTACCTTTATTAGCCAAGACAAAGAGATTAAGATGTGGAGGTGCTAGTGTTGGACTGGGATAGACAAAGTCAGAAATCACATAACACCAGGTTATAGTCCAACAGGTTTATTTGAATCACAAGCTTTTGGAACACTGCTCCTTTGTCAGGTGAAGTGGAGATTAAGAGCAGGGAAGTTATGCTGGATCTGTATAAAATGGTGGTTAGGGCACAACGGGAGCACTGTGCGCAGTTCAGCAATCCACATTATGGAAGGGATGTGAAGGTGCAAAGGATGTTACCTGGGCTGGAGAGTTTCAGTTCTTTTATTCATTAACAGGATGCAGGCATTGCTGGCTGGGCCAGCATTTATTGTCCATCCCTAATTCCCCAGAGGGCAGTTAAGAATCAACCACATTGCCGTGGGTCTCGAGTCACATGTAGGCCAGACTAGGTAAGGATGGCAGTTTCCTTCCCTAAAGGACATTAGCGAACCAATAGTTCCTGGGAACTATTGTGGATGTTCTCTGCTGAGTGTCCCAGCACATTCCTGGTTTGACCTATGGAGATGGTGAAGAGGTCGTCGGAGACTGGGGAGTGGGGTGGGGTTGGTGGGTGAACCGTTCACCAAGGAATCCCACTGTCTGTTCTTGTAATGGCTGCGTAGTGTGGGTAAACCAGACACACTTCTGAACCAAGTTAATTCTCAGGGTAGTACTAACCGGGCTGTGAACTGGGTGGGGACCAGGGTGAATATCATTCAAATGTCATGTAGATATGTTGGAGCCCCTTTCCTGTTAGAGATGGCCATTGCTGGGACATTATGAGGGGTAAATGTTAACTGCAATATGGGAGTTTGCTCCAGACATTGGGACAATTCCCATTTCCGGAAGAATTCATGGAATTTCACTCAAAACTTCTGGCAGGGTGAGCCAGTTTGTTTTGAGGGTTGACACTTCTTGCTCATTCAGCTAGTGGGCTTATCTCGGGGCTAGAAGGAGGTGTGCCTAATGGGGAACGGGCAATTCTTGTTCCCAGAGGCAAGCATTCACACTCCAAACCAGCGCGGAGTCAGGTCCCATCTTAAAGTGGAAGGCTGTGTCTTGTCATAAGGAAGGACTCCAATTTGCAGATAAAAAGAATGTCAACTCTTCACTCCTGCTGTATCTTTAGTAACTGGTGGCAAAATGGCAGCAGAGTAAGAAACTCCAGCAGAGCTCCTCTGCTCACCAGTTCCATTTCCTTTTCCTTTTCCTTTTCTTTCCCTCTTGGCAGCGGCTCCCCCCACCCCCAACCCCAACCCACTTTTAACTTCTTTTAACTACCCTACCTGGAGAATGGAGGTGGAGTGGGGAGCAGAGGGAGTGAGGGTTGAGTCCTGGAGCGGGGAGCAGAGGGAGTGAGGGTTGAGTCCTGGAATGGGGAGAAGAGGGAGTGAGGGCTGAGTCCTGGAATGGGGAGAAGAGGGAGTGAGGGCTGAGTCCTGGACTGGGGAGCAGAGGGAGTGAGGGTTGAGTCCCGGAGCGGGAAGCAGAGGGAGTGAGGGTTGAGTCCTGGAGTGGGGAGCAGAGGGAGTGAGGGTTGAGTCCCGGAG